TCAATAAAACTTCAAAAACCTCTTTATATCAAGAATTCATTTCTTAATCCTTAATGAAATTTCCTTTCTAATTCTCTCTACTTGATGATTTAAGCTTATATAAGCTTTTCTTAAACTTATATATCACCCAAATAATCCAAACCAACTTATAAATCCAAGAATTAAAAATCTGAAATTAACTTACCTTTGCGAAGTAAACCAATGGGAAGAAGAAGAAGAAGAAGAAGAAAGCTTTCCAAATACTTCCTCACCCACAAGCTTATCTCTTTAAATAAGAGATAAATATCTTTTAAATAAAAAGACCATAATACCCCTTCAAAATTTCCCTAATTACCATTTAATCCAATAATGAAATATTCCTATTTAAGTCCTTTAACTTTTCAATTTTTTTACATTGATCACCAAATTCCAAAAATTCTCATTTTAGTCAATAACCCCGATCTTTGGGATGTTACAACCTCCACCAGGTAGCTTTAAAATTATCATCGATGGCGCATTTATCTATAGTTCGGGGGATGCAACTATTGATGTTTTTGCCTGCAATCACCATGGAATGGTGGTAGGGGGAATTTCATGAAAGCTTGAGTCCTCTCACACTCCGGAATCAACAATAGCAACAGATTTTGTTCATGGCCTCCGAGTGGCTATTGAAAATAATTAGGAGCATGTCACTCAATGAAGTCCACGATATCCTAGTGCACCATCTGAACATCAAGGTTAACACCAATGGAATAGGGCCAGCTAATATTTTGAAGTAAACCAAAGGGAAGAAGAAGAAGAAGAAGAAAGCTTTTCAAATACTTCCTCACCCACAAGCTTATCTCTTTAAATCAGAGATAAATATCTTTTAAATAAAAAGACCATAATACCCCTTCAAAATTTCCCTAATTACAATTTAATCCAATACTGAAATATTCCTATTTAAGTCCTTTAACTTTTCAATTTTTTGTACGTTGATCACCAAATTCCAAAAATTCTCATTTTAGTCACTAACCCGACCTCCACCGGGTAGCTTTAAAATTATCATCGATGGCGCATTTATCTATAGTTTGGGGGCTGCAACTATTGATGTCTGTGCCTGCAATCACCATGGAATGGTGGTAGGGGGAATTTCATGAAAGCTTGAGTCCTCTCACACTCCGGAATCAACAGTAGCAATGGTTTTTGTTCATGGCCTCCGAGTGGCTATTGAAAATGATTAGGAGCATGTCACTCAATGAAGCCCACGATATCCTAGCTCACCATCTGAACTTCAAGGTTAACTACACCAAACGAGAAGCCAATAGGGTAGCTCACTCCTTAGCTCATTGGGCTTTGTCAAATAATAATATGTATTGGTTTTATTACGATGAACCGATTGTATCAAAGATAATATAATTCTCGATGCTTTGGATATTTAAATGAAATCTTACATTTTTTTCCAAAAAAAAAAAATTAATCAAGCTAAATGCCGATGGCAGTTTCAACTCACCCAGCTCCTCCTCTGTGTCTGGGTTCATTTTCCGGAACAATGAATGACTCATCATGGCAGCAGGCACATTCCCACATCCTTTTGTTCTTCACCCGGAAATGGCAGAAGCCTTAGCTTATGAGTATGCCATTCGTCTTTCCAAGGAACTGGGTTTCCATAAGATTGTGCTCGAAGGAGATTGCTTCGAAGTCATTGCTAAGCTTCAAAGGCCTCTGTTAGACCGTTCCTCCATTAGCACGATTTTACTAAATATCGAATCCATGAAGGACGATTTTGAAGAACTTACCTTTCTGCATGTCCCCAGAATCTGCAATACTCTTGCACACCCGTTGGCTGTAATAAGTAAATCTTTCCCCAATCCGATGGTTTAGATCAAGGAAGCTCCATCAGCAGTGGAAACAGCGGCTCAAAATGACAGACGATTGGTCAATCCTCTTGACTAATTTGCTTCCAGATTTTTTCTCTTCCTTGTTAATCGAAGCTATCTTTACACCTCCGATACTCTTCAAGGTTGATCTTCTCCTTTACTTGATTTTCTTTGATGCTCTGCACCCTTCGTAGAGAGACTAAAGGAGGGATTCGGCTAGCTGGTCAGTTTTATTAAAGTGTTTTACTTGGAACAATTTTGTTTTCTTGCCTTAGTTCTTTGGGGTTTCTTTTAATTTGTAGTTAGTTTGAGTTATCTAATAGCAATATCAGCTTTACCGTCCAAAAATATATAATACCTTCTTCTAGATTTGAAAGTTTATTATTAAAACTAGGTAAACGACTCGAATAAATTCAAATTAATCAGGATAAAGTCTTAAAATTTGAGGAGAATTTATAAAAAAAAATGTTGAATTCAAATTTGCAATCAATTATTTTTCTAATTTTGTCTTTTTGTAGAAGTTTTGGGATAACGTTAATTAAATTGAAAATAATCGGAGACCCAAACTTCATTATCAAGTTATTTAATTTAACACGTAAACATAAATTTGAACTTTTAAGTAATCGTGCTTTCATATAATTTATCACTATTTTTAACTAGTTTTTATGCGAATTGAGTCATTAATTTTTTTTTAAAAATCAAAATTAAAATGAAATTTAAAAATTAAAAATTAAAAATATAATTATGATATTTTTATATTTATTGATAAAATAAATTAGTCACTCGAGATTATTCGAATACCGTATAAAAAAGGTTAAAACTCATTCAATAAATTCGAAAAAAGATAGAAACGAACAAATCTAACTACATCAATTAACGAACCATAACAAGATATTAAAATACTGAAAGATTATCGATAATAATAAATCAGAATTAAACGTCGTGACGTAAATCACATATTAACGTAAATCACATATTCACCTACACGATGCTATTATAATTCGGAATAGTTGAAAGCAACTCTCTCGTGCGACACACTTCACACTTGACAACCTACATAACATATAAAACCAAGGCTACAAGAAACCGTTACCCTTATGCTTTTACATTGTCTGCAGCTTTTCAATTTCAGCTTTCCTCTAAACACTCTCCACTTCCAAGGCTAACTGTAGAGTATCCTGAGACATAAGTTACCTAAACTGACGGAAAACAAACTGTAGAGGAAAACTGTGAACTTCAAACCATTCTCCTGCGATCAGGCAACTAATTCTTTAGTAAGACGATCTCATAGTAGAGAAAATCTTCACTTTAGAGATAAATTTCAACTCCACCCCATCTCCACTTTCAATGCTAGAATAGATAAAAACTACAGTGATACTCTACATCTAGGGTTATAATGTAGTTGCGCTACATATTATTAGTTTTTGTTATTTTTATATTTTTAGTTTTTGTTTTTTTTCTTTCTTTTGTTATTTTCTTTTTCTTTTCTTTTTATTTATTATATTATTTTCTCTTATTCTATCTTTTATGTTTTTTATTGTAATTTCTACACAATAAAATAAAAATTAAACATAATATAAGAAATTTCAGTAGATTAAATTACAAGATAGATAAAAACACATTGAAATTAGATAAATAAACATACTAATAGTTAAATATTGTGAATAAAATAGAGTTGGTGATAATGTAGAGATAGTACTGGAGATGAATTACTATTTCATATTTATAGTAGAGATAGAGATGTTGTAGAGTAGAGATGAGGGCCGAATATGGCCTAAGCCAGCCTATCATGTGTTGCGGAATACGGCTATCGGATAGAGTAAAATCGCAACTGATAATTTGAGAAAATAAAAATGAAGATAAAGAAGAACAAATTTTACGTGGAAAATCCCTAAATAATATAGGGTAAAAACCACGGGCAGAAGAATTTCACTATGAGAAAATAAGAATTACAACTCTCAATCTAACAAGAAGAAAATAATAACAATTCTCTCTTAATAAAAATGAGAAAACAACTCTCAAACTCTCTAAATTCTCTAGTATTGGGAGAAAACTATAATGATTTGGGATGGTTTTGAAGCTAAATGGGTTAGGGTATTTATAGTTGAAGTTTAAGGATTAATCTTATAAATATCCTAAAGTACAGAGACTAAATGAGTAATTTTCCATTTATCTTTTCAACCAAAATCATCCGCTGTCAATCTTAAAAATCTAATTTGCAGCAAAATAAGACCTTTGTAAGCTGAAAATTTTGACCATTGTAAGCTGAAAATTTTGATTTTTCAACATCATGCACCCAAGTCTCCGCCAAGACCACATCGATTATTGCATAAGCTATCATCCCTGACTTTATTCTGAATATTTAAAAGCACCCCACCACATGATCATTAAACTAGCAAACATCTTCAACAGATTATATCATGACTGTTCTGAGCCACAGGGTTGACACTATAATTGTTCTATCCTCTATCCATCTGTTACGATTCAAACCGATTGAAATCATGGACAACATATGGCCATGTTTATAAATTTATACAACTTATCACAAGCAGTTAAAGAATCATTAAATTACTCTATAATAATCTTTTCAGTTATTAAGCTTTTAAAAATTATAAAATGAATATTACAACTTTAGTTTGTTACAAAAATGACATCATGTCATTAATTGATGTTAATTGTAATTAAATGGATGACATACCACATTAAATAAACAGATAATATCCCATTTGACCTGTCAACAACATTTAAAATATTATTTTTAAAAATTAGAAAGAAATGAAAATTTAAAATTTATTTTTAAAATTATAATTTTGAGATGTTTTTAAATCATAAATATATGAAAATCCTTATTTTTAGTAACCTGATATTTGTGGCCGTTAAAACCCTGCTGCTACGAGCAAGCACAACGTTAGGTTTCATATTGGAATGATTCATGTTCGAATTCAAAAATAAAAAGATACTTAAAGATTGTTTAAACTAAAACATTTAAACTAACTGATAATAACTTTAAAATTTTAAACCAAAATGATAACTTTTCAAATGGATAGGGACTGAAATGTTGTTATTTATAATAGACAAATCAAAATAAAATTTTAAATATAATATAGTAACTTGTAATAGAATTTAACTTTGTTGCCCTACTATAAAATGAGAGATGTCCATTGCAATTCGGCAGCATAAGTTACCAAATATGGAAGTATTTAGTTTGTTCAACATTATAGTCGGCATCTCCACTTTCCTTTTTGTGTTAGTTTTAAAATCCATCGCACAGAAACGTAAAACTCGAAGGAATCTGCCACCTAGCCCTCCAGCTTTGCCAATCATAGGCCATCTCCATCTTCTAAAACAATCAGCTCATCGAACTCTTGATCAACTTTCACAGAAATATGGCCCCGTTCTGCTCCTTCAATTCGGAAGTCGTGAAGTCCTTATAGTTTCCTCTGCACCAGCAGCCGAAGAGTGCTTTACGAAAAATGATATCATCTTTGCGAACCGCCCTCAGTTGCTTGCTGGAAAACACACAAATTACAACTGTACCACGATTGGACTCGCACCCTACGGTGATTATTGGCGTACCCTTAGGCGTCTCACTGCCACGGAGCTCTTCTCCACCAGCCGACTCGCCATGTCTGCTATCATCCGGCAAGAGGAAGTTGGGTTATTGTTAAAGGAACTATTCTTGGCCTCGGCCAAGAAGTCAGCAACGGTGGAACTTACATCAAAGCTTATAGAGGTTGTGTTTAATATGATTTTGAGGATGATTGCTGGAAAGCGGTATTACGGGAAAGATGCAGTGGATAAAGAAGCGGAGGAGTTTCGAGACATCATGAGAGAGGTTGCGGAGATGAACGGAGGCACCATGTTGAATGACTTTTTGCCGGTGCTGCAGTGGGTTGATTTTCAAGGTCTGGAGAGGAAGATGAAAAAGTGTTTCAAGAAACTGGATAAGTTCTTACAGTCCCTTGTTGAAGAGCATAGACTGATGAGGAAAGATTCTTTGGGATCATCTGGTGCAAGCAATAGAGGGACCAAAACAACTTTGATCGACGTCATGTTATCCCTGCAACAGACGGAACCTGAATTCTATACCGATGAAACCATAAAAGGAGTCATCTTTGTAAGCTCAAGATCCATGATCCTTTTTGTCTTGCGGGTAACGTGTGTCAAAACTCTTCATGATAGGGCTCAGCAACATAATCGAGAAAATTGAAAAATTGATATGAATTAAGTAAAACGGTTCGGTTTGATTTGGGTTTATATTTTTATTTAAAGAATCAATTCTATTAATTTGGTTCGGTTCGGGTTTTTTATATGGAACCCACTTATTTAATATTGAACCGAATAGACAATTTTTTTTGAATTTATAGTTTCAAGTTAATTTTTTATTGAAAAATCGATGAACCGAATCGAACCGAAAAAAACGGCATTACCAAATCGAATCGAACTGAAAAAATCAATTTCAAATAATTCGATTTTTTAACCATTCGATTTCGATTTCGGTTTTAATTTTAAAAAATTATTTATTTCGGTTTAGTTCAATTTTTAATAAAAATTGAACCGAACCGAATCGAACCGAATCGAATAGAATACATCCCTACCTCATGGGTTAGGTATCATTGTTGTTAAGTTTATGAGTGCTTTAAAGTCAAATTAAGCTGCTTATGAGACCTCATAGAATTTGAAACTCAAAGGATAAGTTGTCATTTTTCAAACCTTAAGAGGACTTTTTTAAACCACACAGAGAAAGTGGGTTTCTACCTAATCTTATAGTTTCTTTTTTTCAATTTTAAAATAACATTTCGTATATAAATTTAGATTTTTTTTCTCTGATGTCGGGAATTTATATTTTAAATTATCAAATCTAATTTTAATTTGTATTTGTATCACCTATATATAATGTAATTTAAGTATATCATTTAATTTTTATTATTAAATAAATTAAATTATTTATAATATTAATACCATAAAATATTTTAATGAAATAAAATTAAATTGATACTTTTACATAATATTTTTTTTTGTTATTTCCAACAATTTTTACTTATCACTATTAAATACTACTTAATTAGCAATCTAAATAATTTTTTTAGAATTTATATAAAAATAGTTCCTTTTACTCTGAATTTATTTAAAATAAATGTTAGAGAAAATTCTAACAGAAAATTATTTAAATTATCAATTAAATATTATTTGATAAATATATATATATATATAAATCCGTCAAGTAGAAGTGTAAATTTCATTTTTTTTTGTTAGAATTATTTAATGGTGTTAACATAAGTGAATTATTGTATTAATAATAAAAGTTAAATGATGTTATTTGTTTAAACTAAAGATTTTATGATCTAAATAAAATTTAAATTTAAATTTAATGATATAGAACGGAAATTATTCTTTGGAGTTTCTAATATCTGTATCTTTTAAAATTGTTTTCAGGTAATGCTGATCGCTGGAACTGAAACATCATCTTCTACGATAGAATGGGCCATGTCACTTCTTCTTAACCATTCCGAAGTCATGTATAAAGCTTGGTCCGAAATAGCTGATAAAGTCGGACAAGACAAATTTTTGGATGAAACAGACTTGCCAAAACTGAATTATCTGCAGTCCATAGTTTCTGAAACTTTGAGATTATTTCCGCCAACGCCATTACTCGTACCACATGAGTCATCGGAAGATTGCGTCGTTTGTGGTTATAACGTGCCACGTGGAACAATGTTATTGGTAAATGCGTGGAGTATCCAAAGGGACCCCCAGCTATGGGAGGAGGCCACAAGATTTATGCCGGAGAGATTTGAAAGTGGGGAAGCAGGTGACGGGTGTAAACTGCTTCCCTTCGGTGTGGGAAGGAGGGCTTGCCCTGGAGCTATTCTAGGTAGAAAAGTGGTTGCATTGGTACTTGGTTCCTTGATCCAATCATTTGAGTGGAACAGGCTTACCGAAGAGGAAATCGATATGAGGGAAGGCACGGGGCTCACCATGCCTAAAGCGGAGCCCTTGGTAGCTGTGTGCAGTCCCCGCTCAGGCATGCTCAATCTCCTCACCACAATCTAAGACACTAGCATTATGAACACTTGCATATGTATATATAGTTTATTCAACTTAGTACATGCATGAGAATAAAATATATATATGTTAGTAGTAAATATTATGTATAAATAATTTATATTATGTGTGAACAATGTCGAGATACATGATTATCTTGAAAACAACCATTTCTTAATGAGTTCCTCAACAGATGCAAAGTAATTAAGAAGATAACAGGAGATGCTGTCAGTTTGAGGGATTCTTCTTTTTTGAGGGAGCTTATCTATTTATTTTCTGTTTATCTAAATGCAGAAACTTATTAGCCCCAGAGCTAGTTAAAAGCAGTTAACTCCACCATTGAATAATGTCTAGGGATATTCAAGTTTGCTTAACAATCAAGTAAATCCTCATCTGATTTCAAATGTATAAAGATAACCCCCCCCAAAGAGAAGACTCATCTGGCTTTGGTGGAGAGAAAAGAGTGTTGAATGAAAAATAAAACATAGGAAACGTGGCAACCGGCTAAAGTGCTGACTCAGACAGGGCAATAAAATGGGTTTGTGGGAAAAGCTGGTTTGTTGCGAAGTAAGCCCATAGTTGTTAGCACTTGGCAGCTGATAAGGATTGCTTCTCCGGGGGAAAAGGAAAAGTTGTTCATTGTCTGTGTCACGCTGTCATAACCTTTAAGTCCAAATTATCGGATCAGGGTTAAGGTATGACAGATCATACATCTTTTGATGCTTCTTGCTCTTCTATGCGACTAAGTAAATCTTACTCAAACCTAATAAGCATGCAAACTCACCAAGGTTGGAACCAAACCCTCAAGGCTTCTAGGATTGTGGAAGCTTTAACACCAAAGTGGCTACCCAAGCCACCAAGGTTGGACTATTGTGTGGAAGTGCAAACGCAAGTGTAACTACTCCTAACCACCAAGATAAGCAACAACACAAAGAGAACAAAGAACACTGAAAGTAGAGTAAATGTGTGAGAGCTTTATTACTCTCCAAAGAGAATGAATGGAATGGATAATACAAATGAGGAGGAGAGATGTCTATTTATAGTTTATCTCCCTCTCAATCAATAGCCTAGATTGTTTTACATCAACGGCTAAGATCTATCCAATTAATACAAAATCCCCTAAATCAAGGAAACCTAATCCAATTGCATCAATTATCAGGATTCTTTCATTGGATAAGTGTTCACACCGGATATGATAAGATTCCCACACAATATCTTCCTGATTTTGTTTTCTTTTGCCATATTTATCGAGCTCATGTGATAATATTCGGATTTGATATTACTTTTCTTTTCTGCACGGCCAATGTGAACGAGCTCTATAACATTCTCCAAGTGATGGGCCAAGTCTGGTGGCCTTGGCAAGCCCAATACTCTATATTGAACCTCTTTGTCGGACACTTGCACTAATATCTCGGACTCAAGTTCACAGCCAGTGACATTCTCCCCCATCGAACTTAGTGACACCCTCGTCGTTGCACTCGACGATCCTGGGCAACATCCCTTTGAATACTTCTCAACGCCTTGGCTTGTTGCGGTCCTCCTATACGAACTGCTTGTTTTGGCTTCTGTTGCATGTAACTTCACGATCTTGCGTCATACTTCACATCAACTTGGTTGTCTTTCGACGTCTCCACTTGCTCATGTACCCCATAAGAACTCAGCCTCCCTTAATGACTATGCTTGTTTCTGCTCTTGTCGCCAAATGATGAAATAAACTAACACGCCTTCAAGTACATCTCTACCGTAGGAACCTTTTCTTATAAGTCCTGAATATTGGGGACTTAATATTGGGGATGATAGGTGCCCAATTGGTCTTCTTCGATCTTCGGAGACGAGGGATCACCTTTTTTTCAGAGACTATATGTGTAAAGTTACGAAAAGCTACTCCTTTGAAAAGAAATAGACTCAATTATAGTGAATTTACTCCTATGCCCTATCCCTCACCGGCCCTATATATTCCACAGTGAAAATCCGATCAAGAGGAAAACAAGATTACGCTAATCGAATTCTCAACAAAAAAAAAAAGATTACGCTAATCGATAAAATAAAACCCAATCACTGAAACCCGCGAACCGAAATCCCTTCCCACTGCCTAATGGGAAGTTCAAACACCTCCTTGACCGATGACGATTCCGTCACCGAATTTGACAATACCGCCACCAAGACCGACTCCGATTCCCACTCCGACTCCGCAACCGAAACCGATGAGGAATTCCGTAACCGATACCATACCTGTCTTTTCAGAGAAGACGAGAAAGTCCTCGCCTACCATTGCCGCTTCATATACTTGGCTAAAGTAATTAAATAAAAGGAAAATCTTAAGCTGTTTTCTTCCCATTCGCCTTTGAAATCACTTCACTCATCGTTTTACTTGCCAGGTTTTAAAATGCGAGAAAAGGAGCAACGGCTGGCATTATTTCGTTCATTATCTCGTAAGTATATAAAAAAATTCCATTTAATCTCTCTTTTCTCTTTTTTCCCCCACATAAAATTGATTGAAACTTGATTCTTTGTTCATTAATTTGTTTGTTTGTTTTATAGGGGTGGAAAAAGAAGTAAGTAACTTCTGTTTGAAATTATATGTATATTTTGAAGGAAAAAATTGGATTCTTGATGCCATGTTTGGTTTTCACAGCTGGGATGAATGGGTAGGTGTGGATAGATTAATGAAATTTACAGAAGAGAATCTGCACAAACAGGTAGCACTTAACAAGAAACTTAAGGAAGAACAGAAGGGTGAATTTCAAACTTCAAAGAGAGGAACAGCGCGTGTGTCCCTGAGGAACCCCAAAGGTTGATTTTGGTGTTTTATTGTTTGTCAAAAATGTGAAAAGGACTATTTTTCTACACTCTTTTTTGGGTTCAAGAATTAAGATGTGTTTATCTTTGCAGGTAGTAGGGGCAAAAGGCAAAAGAACGATGCTATTTGCAAGGTATTGCCATGGTTTGGATATCATTGTTGTGGCATTTTCAATGCTTCTTCAGTTGGTTCATTTGGTTAGAAATTTAGTTTATTGGTATTCATTGTGAAAATATGTTTCTAGTAGATCAGCTAAAGACATCCTTGGTTTAAGCGCAAAGAGTATGGATTTTGAGCTTCTGTTATGTGAATTTCATGTTCAGTTTAGTCTAATTGATTGCTGAACTGTTCTAAACTGTTAGGATAAGCAGGCTGTACCTTCAGATAGTTCAGAAAAGCTTGTGAACATCCAAATTCCACTCACTCTGAAGAAGCAACTAGTTAACGATTGTGAATTTATTACTCATTTGGGAAAGGTCAGTATAGCCTCAGATTTTAGTTTGTATGCAGTATTCCATTTGTTTCATTTTAAGACTTCCCTGTCAAATGTCAATATAGATGGTCAGAATTGATTGTCATCTTATTTTACAGCTTATTGTACTTCCATGTACTCCTAGTGTGGAAGACATATTGAAGATGTATCTTGATTATCGATATACGAAGGATAACATGTAAGTAGCCCCCTCCCTTTTTGTCTCATTGTTATTCTATAACTTGCAAAATACATCTCATATGAGCATGGCTAGCTCCTGTAGCGGTCAGCTAGATGGAGAACCTGCTTTGTTTAACTCCTTGGCGCCACATTGTCAAACAGCTGTTAATGACCTGATGGACCAAAAGACCTGCATGACTTAAAATGTACCTTGAATTGCTTATACGGTGAAAGGTGCAAGAAAAGCAACAGATCAGGATTATTGACATAATTTTTTGCATTTATGCATAGTTTATACTAGGTATGCTAGTTTTTAGCTTGTAATGGAAGAACAATAATTGCAGAAGTATCCACTTGGAAGGTAGAGAAGGAATTGAGTTGAGAAAATAAAAAGGTGGTTTTAAGGTTTGGCATTTGGAATGAGCTATCTTCTGATTTTTGGTTCTTTAATTCTGCCTCTCAAAATTATTGCTCCGTTAGGTGCCTTTCAGTTGTGAGTGAAGTGCTCAAATCTGCAATCCTAATTAATGCCTATGAAGTTTTTTAGATAATTGTTTTACCAAACTTTTATTGCTATATTGTTGGCTTGGTATTTGTAGTTTTCTAATAGTTGACATGAAAATGTAATACATGTAGGGTATCCGATTCAGTTGGAGAAATTTTTAAAGGGATACGTTCTTACTTCAACAAAGCATTACCTGTGATACTTTTGTACAAAAGTGAGCGTAAGCAATATCGAAATACTATTACAGAGGATATCTGTCCATCCATAGTATATGGGGCCGAACATCTATTGCGTCTCTTTGGTATGTGTATCCCATCGCTGTAGACAATTCTGATTAACTTGCAAAAAAAATGTATTATGCTGTGTAATTGTTACATATAGGGAGGAAATTTACTTGCTAATCGAGAAATCTTTCCTTACCCTGATAATATTTTTGTAGTTTGAGTTGAAGCTTAGAAAGCAACCAGGACAGTTATTCTGGAGTCTTAACAATTTTCAGATGACATTTGAGAATGTACTAAATAATCTATCTAAATTTTCAGGATTGAGTGCGTCATTTTTTTATAAGCTGTTAATACATAAAATTCTTACATAACATCAACCATTAATAGTTCCAGTCAACCAAACTATCTACTAGTCATAGCATGATATAGTATTACACACGGTTATCTACTAATGAATCTAGCCTTTAATGAACCGTTCTGGGTTTATCTTGTAATCTTTTGCTATGTCTAGACGTGGCATGCCTCTGTGTTGCAATTATTACAGCTTCTTCCTGGTATTTCATTGAATGTTTGATTAATGCTGCTCCCAAGATTAATGAATTTTCCTTGCAATGGATTTTATATCGTGAAGTTCATTATGCTAATTTACTTTCTTTTGTTCACAGTGAAGTTGCCCGAGTTATTGATACATGCAGACATTGAACAGGAGACATTATTGGAGTTGCAGCAAAAATTAGTCGACTTTCTCAAGTGCGAACACCATTATATTTTTTAGTTTTGATGGTCATTTAACTCTTCAGAAACTCAAATTCCACTACCCTATCTCCTTGGTCCTCCCCACCCGATCCCACCTCCTCCCAATTATTCCTTTTTAAGGCACATGATATTTCATTGCCATCAATCTCTGCTGAGTGCTGATGCATGAAGATGTCTGTCTTCTCATTGCAGGTTCTTGCAGATGAATCAGAATACCTTATTTCTCTCGAGATACCGTGGTGCAGAAGATGTTGAAACAAGCACTGATAAACATGATAACTGATGCAGAAACTTCTTCCAAACCATTTGTACATACACCAATGAGTGGTTGGAAGTTTCTTCTACCTTCCATCAATGCTCCTTGGGCTTCAGAAAAAAGGTTTACTGAAACATGAGAGGGGTTTGTCTGTCACTGGATTTACCTTCCTAAGAACAGTTTGTATGTATATATTTGTAGGATACTCTCCATTCGGAGCTTTGTGCTTGTCCTTGTTGGTTGACTTTTACCTGTTGCTTGGCTAGTATTTCCCTTTTGGATTCCAGCTTTTGAGTCCATTTAGCAAAACTTTGTTTAATCCACATTCCAAGCGACCTTCTGGTTGGTTCTTACCAACTGCACTACGCCCACAAATTGGGGTTGGACCCTTTGGAGCCCTTCTTATATTCTCAACGCAGCTCTTTCCTTTTCAGCCTTTGTATTTATTTATTTATAGAATATTTTTAAATAGGGCTTTATTTTTAAGAATAGTGAATTTAATATTGTTGTGTGTGCGCGCGTGTGTGATGGGGAATAGCTAATGATCAGAATGGAAAAGGGCTTTTGGTAAATTAGTCCCCAAAACTTTAGATATATAATTTTAGCAACCTGGTTATAAGAATCACCTAAACATATATTTTCAGTATATTCAATTGGAAGAAAAATTCTCTTCCAAGCATTTGAACAGCCACCTCCTTTCATGCAAATGTTTCTGGAGGAAGACAGCAGGGTGATGCAGACCAGCATAGCTGGGATTAAGTTTTTTATTCTTTATATATTAAAAAAAAAAGGACGAAAACTTAAATTCTCTGCTTCATTCATGGTTTTTCTTCCAATAATCTGATTTTATAAAGATAAAATTTCAATTGCTATTTATTTATTTATATTTATAAACAATTATCTACAAGCGTAAAACAATAATTACCTACACTCAAGGATGATCAAATTGAATTTTTGTTTCGATAAAATCATTATTAATTTTTTAATCTTGATGTAAATCGTGAACGACAACGTTTAATATTGTATTATTATTATAATTGATATTATAATTAAATCTTTAAGATTACATCTATAATTATTTTTTTTAGATAATTATTTTTTGGTGTTGGAACATCACTAACAATACAGTGTTATTATAAGCGCTATAATAATAACGAATAGCAAAAATCCATAAAGGTTTGGGTATGGTAAATGACTATTGAGAAGAATAATGGCAATTTTATATTAAAAACCCCATATAAATAATTATTTAAAGAAATAGGTCCCTCCAGAAATTGTTTGGAAGATTAACCCGCAAATCATCCACATCAGATGACCTCGCGGCCTGCAAACCGCGTGTTAACTCCTCTCACCCTCCAACACGCGAGATATATTCGACATGGGCGCACTCTCTAGGTAAGCCAATAAAACAATTGGATAAAATGACATCGCCCATTACGAACGCGAGGTAGCCTTTATGATCCAAAATATCGCGAGATTTATGGAGGACCTCGCGACCTGCAAAGCACGGGGATAATAGATTCCTTGCCCTCCCTTTAGTGTTCATAGCCTTGATAGGATATTATTTCCGGGTGGAAAACTAAATTTTTGTAAAATTTTAATTATAAACGCGTAGTCTTGCAATTAAGGTGACTATAATATCAACATATATAAGACATTTTAAGCGGGTTGAAAATGGTTAGAAATCATGATTTTATGAAGATAGAAGAAAAAAATGATTTGATAGACATATTGGAGTGTTATTTCTGACTTATAAATATGAGTAAATATGTGTTGTTAATTAAAAATAAATAATGTAAAAAGCCCATTTAATTGATACGTGGGCCTGAGCGATTGAGACATTTGTTCTTCTTGTGTCCGGGATTCCTACATATAAAACATAATTTCAGTTGTCCGATTCTTTCTTGATGTTCGACCAAATCCTCATCACTAAAAATCTGGGTTGACCGTGGACGACCGATTTTTTTCCGTAGTGTATAATCTGGCCGTATTGTAGGTTCATCGTCAGCTTCATCCGTATCTCATTCATTTCCAATGGAAGGGAACTCATATTCATAAACCTTGAATATAGTTTCAAGTAAGTAAACCCGATGAACGAATCTCATGTAGGGTATCCGAACAGAAGAAGTAACAGCAATAGTGTACGTACACAGGTATTTGAAAGTTTGGAAGAATTCGCACTCGCATATTTTTTCTCGTAAATTAACCACATATGCTTTATTTTGTATGTTTTCCAATGGCCTTGCAAATTCTGATACATGGAATAATGACATTTCGCGAGAGAAGTTTATGACACTCATTACGTTGGAATGCTGCTGGAATGTTTGCAATTTTCTGAGGAGGTCTAGGTGGATTTGGTGGCCACCTACCATCCAGTCAGCTGTTTGTCTTCCCAAGGTTGCGAAAAGTGTTTCCAGTCGATAATATGTCGCTTTGACAACGGACGTGATAGGCAAATGACGCACTCCCTTTAGTGATGAATTTATTGCCTCAGCCAAATTCATTGTCACGTGATCATATCGTCTACCCCCATCAAATGATTGAAGCCATTTCTCTTTTGGGATTCTAACAAGGTAGTTGAAGCCCTCATAATTCATGTGTCTCAATTCCTACATTATGTCCTCACACTCACATACAGACTATGTGTAACATATCAATAAAAAGTGGAACAATTAATTTGAAATATTTTTTGTAAAGTTATGGTAAACCGAAAATAGTGAAAGACGTACTCATTCGAATCACAATTAGACGCTCATATCGACTCTTGAACTTCTGCAAATAGTTTTCAGCAATATGTCGTAAACAATACCTGTGATAAATATTGGGGGTTTGGCAAGACGGACCCATACACTGGAGTGCGTATTTGATACCAACACCTCTTTAAGAAATAAGATAAATCTCATCATCTCTATCATGTATCACATGTAATAGAACATATGTTTGTAAGTTCACAAGGAAAAATTCCCAATAATCGATATCTTTCTTTTCGACAATTGCGAAGGCGATGGGAATAGTTTTTTTGTTGTCATCTTGTGCAACCGTCAATAACATTATTTGAGTGTATCGACCATATAACCAAGTTTCGTCTATTTGAACAACCTGTTTGTAGTGTCAGAATGCATTAATGTATTGTGGAAAAGTCCAAAAGAGTCGGTAGAATTGGCAGACATCTTGAACAACACAATCATTTTCGTATGCCGAGATTGTTTCTAATTTTACAATTGTTCCCGGAACGTGTTTCTGCATCAATTTAAGCCATGACCGCAATTCATTGTAGGATTTTTCTCCATTTTGAATGTCACCTCGGGACTTTGACTGAATGAAGCTTTTATGCAACGTTCTTTATTTCTCAAGCTGCTTAAAGATGAAGCCTATATATACCATCTCCTGTTCCTTGTGCTTTCATCTTTGAAAGCTCCACATGGATTCCCTGTATGTATCGTTACTTGTTTTATCTTTGACAGCGTTCCTCCCATTGTCTTCTTCAACGTGTCGAAAACTGAGCGGAGGATCATCTCTTTCCGTGGAGAATTCAGATGATGTTTTAATATCACCGAATGCCACTTTGTCCGCCGGCTTTTATCCTGTTGGCAACAATGCTTACGCTTTCGCCATATGGTTCAGTAAACCGACTTGCCTTGTACTCCAACATTGCACCGTTATTTGGATGGCAAACCGTGACCACCCAGTCAATGGAAGGCGTTCCAAGCTCTTGCTTTTGCGAACCGGTAATCTTATCCTCACTGATGCCGATCAGTTCAACGTTTGGGACACGGGCACTGCCTCGTTGTCTTCAGTTCATTTGCAGCTCAATGAAAATGGCAATCTTGTTTTGAGCAATTCCCAAGGTACTACTTTGTGGAAAAGCTTTGATTCTCCTACAGATACCCTTCTTCCTCTACAGCCACTCACCAGACATACAATCCTTGTCTCCCAAAGAAGAAAAGGTAACTACTCCTCGGGTTTCTATAAGTTCTTTTTCGACGACGATAACGTTCTTAGTCTCCTTTTTATGGTCCCGAGATTTCAAGGGTTTATTGGCCTGATCTTTGGCTTTTAAGCTGGCAGGCAGGAAGGTCTGCGTACAACAGTAGGAGAATTGCAATGATCGATTCATTTGGTAATTTTAGTTCAAGCAATGGTTTGGGTTTTTCGGCTGCGGATTACGGTGCAAGCGGGATCCAGAGAAGGTTGACAATTGATTATGACGGCAATCTTCGATTGTACAGAAGAGAAGAAAGGGAGAAAAACATGGGTTGTTTCATGGCAAGCTCTGGGTCAGCCATGCAGGACTCATGGCCTTTGTGGGGAAAATAGTCTGTGTAGATACGCTACCAGTACTGGGAGGAAATGCTCTTGCCTTCAAGGATACAAGGTCAAAAATCAACTTGATTGGTCTTATGGTTGTGAACCAGAATTCGACAGTTCCCTCGTTTCAACTCGTGGCTTTACCTTTACTCGTCTTCGTAATGCCGAATTTTACGGATATGATTATGGAGTTTTCTACAATAAAACCTTGAAGGAGTGCGAAACTGAGTGCCTGCAAAGGGCTGATTGTAAAGGTTTTCAATATAAAATCAACGTGAATGGCGTCTATGAATGCTTCCCTAAGGCGCTATTGAGGAATGGGCACCAACCACCTAACTTCGATGGAGACGTTTATATAAAGGTTCCCAAATCATATGTTGCCCTCAAGAAGAAGAAGAATAAGAAGAAGGAGCTTTCTAAGAAAATCAGCAGTTTAGGATGCGGGGCAAATTTTACGATTAATCTAGAAAGAAGTTTCGTTGAAAGCCAAGAGAAAGGGATAATGAAGTTCATGCTGTGGTTTGCATGTGCATTGGGAGGGGTGGAGTTTATTTCCATTTTTTTGGTGTGGTTGTTCTTAAATAGAGCTAGGGGAGATGAGAATGTAGGTAAAGAAGGCTACCTTTTGGCGGCAACTGGGTTCAAAGGAATGACATTTTATGAGCTAAAAGAGGCAACCAAAAACTTCAGCCAAGAAATCGGAAGAGGAGGGGCAGGTATTGTGTACAAAGGAATGCTAACCGATGGTAGAGTTGTAGCAGTCAAGAGACTAAACGAAGCAAACGAAGGAGAAGCTGAGTTCGTAGCAGAAGTAAACACCATTGGGAAGCTTAACCACATGAACTTGATTGATATGTTGGGATTTTGCGCGGAGAAAAAGCACAGGCTGCTTGTTTACGAGTACATGGAGCAAGGATCATTGGCAGAAAAGCTCGAATCCCATCAACTGGACTGGCAAAAGAGGTATGATATCGCATT